TTTAAACTAGATATAATTTGTTCAAGACAATAAGTTTGACTCATGTCAAAAACCGTGTTATTGATAAAGTTTTGATAAATATAATTTTACCACCATTTATTAATATATATTTTTTGTTGTATAAATGAAGGAAAAAGTGGCAAAACTAAGGCAATTGAACAATATCAGCGGAGATATTAGCAAGAGATACTTTCTTGATAAGCAGTTTGTATCTCTTTTCTTTCTCATGTCTTCCTTTGACTAATTTATTGTCTCTCTCTAGTTTTATTTTGTTCAATGCTATTTCCAAAAACATGTACTTTAGAATAGTGTCCTTTAGCCTTACTTTACTTACAAGACCATATATATAAGTGTTAAACCACCACTACCATCGCCATCGCCATCAGTGTATTCCCATGTGTAGGGTCTTGGAGACTAAGTATGTAACCTTACTCCTACCTTTATATATAGGGTACATAAGTTGTTTCTGATTGACAAATCACCTTCTTCGTTATCCGAGGTTGAGACTGACAATATGAGCAAGCTCACGGAAGTAGAGTTATATTAGCATTGTAAAATATTAATTCATTGAAATGTTAGATACTACCTAGTTCCTTCATCATATTTGATTTCTTTTGTATAAAGTGAAATTGACTCTCACTGATGAATTACATTGTCTCATGATGGTTGCCTTTGGATGTTTCAACCTGCTATTGGTATCTTAATCTCTACAGGATTGAGGTGAGCATAATTTAATTTGATACCTCTCTTATAAGTTCTTTTTATATTTTCAATACTATTTTAGTTAGTAGTTTGTTAGTTAAGTGGGACATTGAAATAAATATCAATTAATCATTATGTATCTATGAGGGAAGTTGATAACATCATTTTGATTGTGAAATTCTTTGATATAGAATTTGGAGCTACAAATAATGAAGAGCACATTGGAATTGCAAATTGTGGATGCTCATATAAGGTCATTTGATTTAGTATCACAAGTGTTTTTCTTTGTAGTTCTAAAATTATAACATCGTGATTGAATACATTGACGTCACCTTAAATTTTTATTTAGATATTTAGAGTATAGTCTATTTCAATTGTCTAAATGTAATATACTAATAAATTAAAATCGATATTTTTGCCTAACAACACGATCTTGCAGGGATTACGAACCAGGGCCAGAAGAAGAGGTTCCTCTTCATCAGCTTTGTTGGTGCGAAAAGAACTTGCAACTATCTCTCCAAAAAATCAGGGATAGAAAAGTTTGTTCTTTTACCAATTTTCTGTTTCATTAATCATTGAAGAATAATGTGAATTTACAATTTTTAAGAAATAATGTAAAACCCTAACTAATGTCAAGAAAATTATGATTAGGTGGAATTGGAGAAACAAGGAAATGTGGATGTTCACTTTGCAGCACAACAAATAACTCATCATCAGTTTACTACTAATAATTGGATTGATACGTACAGGTTATTAATATTTTCACATGATATTTCTTTACAAGAAGTCCCTCTCCTTTTCCCTTTTTGTTTAATTATTATTTCATTATTATTATAGTCCAAGTATCCAGGAGAGTATGTATCAAAACTGGATGGACAAAGGAAAGAGAGTAGCAAACAGTTCTAGCCATTACACATATACCCCTTCCTTTGCAAGTTCTTCACAGAGTGGGAATATACCATTTTCTCAAAATCAAAACTCATCGCCTTATATTCCATTGCAGGTAACACTTTTTCAAAATGCAGTAACTAAGATATCCTTATAATGAGATTTTTAATTATTGTTATTTTTATCTGTACAATAGAGCTATCAACTAAACACCGCTGTAGATGTCCTACAAAATCCACCATCAAAATTTGGACAGTCACAGGTATATTAATATTCTTGAAATATTATTTCTTATTAAGATCTCCTTAAAGAAATGAAATATTTCTTTTTGAGTTTTGATATAATTATTTTATCCACTCAACAGAGTCCACAACAAAACATGATGGTAGATATCCAGCAGAGTCCAACACAAATATTTGGAAAATCACATGTAAACTAATATTCTTGAAATGTTATTCTTTGTTAGATCCTACATCCCCCTGTACTAAACTAGTTAAGTCATATATTTTTCAGGCACAATTGACTTTTGATGAAAGTAGTAACAACTCTCTCATGAACTTCTGGAAAAATATTTATGCTTCTACAAGGTTTCTTTCGATATTTATGCATTTAGTTATTGTTCTCCAATAATATGTTATTTGTTTTAATTTGAAAAAGAAATGATTATTATGCACCCAAACTCTACACAAGATGAAATATTTATGTTGGTGTTTTTTCTGTTTAACATGATATGATTCCTAATATTTCTCTCTCGCTCTCTCTCAGGCCTGTCTCGAGTCCACTAGCAACTATGGGTACACACTTGAACAATCCCTCAGAATTGGGGTTGGAGTATGCCTATTCAAATTCGAATATCAACTTGAGCAATAACAACAAAATCAATCACATCATTCAACAAAATGAGCATTCTTTATTTCAAAGTGATGCAATAACTCCTAATATTCATGGATTTAACTATCCTAGGGAGGTTAGTTCAAAGCTATATTCTTATTACTATCAACTAATTAAATTTATTTGCTTATAACTTCATTTTTTATTATATTATTCACTCAAATACTCACTTTAAATGTTTTATCACAATGATTAGGAGAATACAATGGGAAGCAATGAATACTTTGCTGACACAAGAAATGAGAATGATGCATGAGATTGGGATGATGTTTTCTTCACTGAAGCTTTTAATGGTGAAGACTTTCAAAATTTCGATTGATCAATTAAAGACAAAGAAAAACTTTTAAAACCTAGTTCCTTTATCTTTGATACATTTAAAAGAGCATAAACTCATGTTATTTTAGCTTTTCATATGCTTATTTCAGTATGCAACATGTCATCTTAAATGTTTGTGTGGTGGCCTATGGATATATAAGTTCAAATGAATAAGAACAAGCACCTGTGGATGTTAGAAATAAATTGTATGTTGGAAACATCATATATGTTATAATACTCTTATTTTTATGTTGTCCTTTTAGATTATAAGTCAAGACTAAACCAAGTGGTCAAAAGTCCATTTAGGTCATTGGTGAATTTGGATTGTATTACTAATCCTATGGAAAGGAGAGGAGGTAAACCTCATAATATGGAAAAGAGAATGTCATTTCTAGACTGCAAGAGAGAGTGAATAGATAGAGTCTATATATACTTGGTGCAATTATTAAGTGCTTGAATGGACAATAGATAGAGTTGTAATGAATCAAAATAGGCTGCAAAAAATCCTTGAAACTTTTATGGCACACTTGGTCAGGAGTACTGGTTCTAGGGGTGACAATAGGCTGATGATCGAGTAGGATATGATCTATATCGTCTTGAGTTCCAAATTTAGGTCGAAAGGAAGTTTTTTGGAAATTAGCCTCAAGCATAAGCAAGACATTTTAGAAGGAATAGAATTGTTCCATATATTATTAATAAAGCTATCTCTTTGTTTGTGCTCTATAATATTCTCCCAGGCAGAAACATTAGAGTATTGGTCATCTTCTGAATAGGTCCATATTGCAGAGTCATCAAGACCAGAAAGTTTTTGAGTTTAGAGTTTCTGCTAGGGAATATTTAAGCGAGAGAAACATTTGCCTATCATGTTACCTTGCCATATGCTTTTCAATAAGCTCCAAAGTACCTTTTGGGGGAAAGAATATAAATAGGCAAAGATTGAATGATACTTTTAATTAACATTTGCTTACCATGTTACCTTGCCAAGCACTTAATCTTTTAATCACCTTAGTAACCATACCATCAAAGCATTTATGGGGCAACCGAGATAAGTAACATGCTTTCCAGATCAAAACCTCTAGAAGATCTGATTCTATATGAACAAGTTTTGGGGCCAGTGAGAAAGAAGCTTTTATCCTTGTTCACTTTTTGTTCAAAAATCTTTTCATAATTTTTTATATGCATGCTCATGATCAACTTAGTGTGTGTAATTTTTTTTATGTTTGTTTGGCTCAAATATTTTTCAAATCAATTCATTTTCCTCAAATTTAACGAAAATGACTTTTCAAAACTTAAGAAAAACATTTTTCAAAACTCTCTTCCAACCTCCCCCTACCAACTCCACCAGCCCTCAACCCACCCCCTACTAGCCCCCCACCCACACTACCAACCCCCTACCCCTAAAAAATTTAAGTTTATTTTTTTAAAAATATTTTCAACTTGTTTTTTTTGGTCGAACAAACACATTTCATTCATAAAACCCCTATCTCCCTCTATTATTCTTCTATGCTTACTTACACATAACAGGAAATCAGAAATACAAAACCAGAAAAGAAATAAAAAAAACAAAAAACAAACATAAAATCCTATCGTTAATGTCCACATACCACTTTCTATTTTCAATCCATTTTTTCGCTTTACATTTCTTTTTCCTATTCAGTACTTCTAGTATTCTATATGTGTGGCTGAGGTACTCTTTCCTGCCACAATGCTTTATTTTTTTGCTTTTCAAATCCCATAAATCACTGCTGCCAGCACTGCCCATAGGAAAGCTCTTTTGCACTTCTTTGCAGATTTGTCTTTTGCTTTGTTACCCCTAACCATTGTTGTATTTCCAGCAGACATTTCTGTGCATAAAATCATTCAAAAAATAGATGCTCTGTTTCTTGTTCATGTTTCATTTTTGTCAGCCTCACCCTTGTCAACAACCTTCCATGCATTGCAATCCAGCTTATAAATCCATTCTTAGGTATAGTAGTTCTACTGCACACTCCCCTCTACCATGGCCATTCTGACCCTGCCCCACTTAGCCATTTGTACCCACTTCTAATACTGAGGAAAAAAGGAATATGTTTATACAAGGCGGAGCCACAATTTTCAACTGTAGAGTGTAGTGTAGAGCAAAAGTTACTAGGTTCAGCCAGACCTGTATTCAGGCATCTAGCTTCGCCCCTGTTTTTATACATTAATGGTGGTTATCGCGACTCTTACTCTTCAGCAGCTTCGCTGACCTTAATCTCCAAGAATCGGTCAACTGGCTGACGACAAATAGGACAACGATTTGTTTGGAATCTCAAAACTTGTGCACATCCACTGCACATGCACTGGATTTAAGATGCACATTTAGTTTTCATATACATTACAATCATTTTAAACAAAAAAGATGAAGAAGAGTGTTAAGATTCGACTCCAAAATACATACCATGTGTCGGCATGGAAGTACAGTAGTGTCTCTAGGTTCAGAAAGACAAACAACACATTCCTTCCCATTATCATTTCCATCAAAGTCCTTATCAACTGAATTCCCATTGCCATAAATCTCTTGCAATTCATACTGCATGCCATTAACTTGCTTCACCACCCTAATTTTGAATTTGCCTTTCTCCTTTTCAAAAACTGCCTGAGTAATCTGGAAATTTGTGGACACATTTCCATCCTCCAATGCCTCTGCCTTCACCGCCAGCTCATATATATCTGCATTACACAATTCTGCCTCTCCAAACATGGAAACATCAATGCCAGTTCCAGAGGATTGCCTAAATTTCTGAGATAAACTTTTTTTTAAATTGAATGGTTATTGGTGGAAGTAAACTTTCCTTCATAAGAGTCAACCTTCCCTGATTCTTTTAACCAACAATTTCCATTTACTCCCTGTCTGAATTTTTCTTTTATGGCACATATTTTCTTCCAGTACCAGCATGTGTCATTGCTTGGCCTATATTGCCACCATCCCTCATTCTTTATGTATATGTTATTGATCCATTTTACCCATAAATTGTCTTCCTTTTCTGCCACATTCCAAAATATTTTGCAATTGCTTCTTGGTTACATTTGACACAGCCCAACTTCTCGTTTCGGCAAAGGTGGTCTATTTGTTGTTGCTTTACCACTCCATATATAGTTCCTGCAAATTGTTGTGATATCCTTCAATACTTTTTTAGGCAATATAAATATCGTTGCCCAATATGAGTGCATATGCATCAAAACTGAGTTAACGAATTGCACTCCGCCTGCATATGACAGATTTCTTGGCACCCATGCTCTCACTCTACTTGCCATTCTCTCAACTAGTACCTCACAATCTCCTGGCGATAATCTTTTTGCTGAAACGGGTACACGCAAATATCTAAATGGTAGCTTTCGTTTTGCATATCCAGACACCTCACAGAGATCATTCAATTCTTGTTGTTCCATGTTTGCTGAAAATATGTTTGACTTAATTGCATTATTTATCAATTCTGAAGCCCCCGAAAATGATATCTCTCAACATCATCAATGCCGATTGGTAGTCCCCTTTACTAAAAATTAGCATATCATCTACAAAGCATAAGTGATTCAGCTTCATTGCTTTGCATTTTGTGTGATACTGGAAAACCTTTTTCTTCCGACACCCAAATCATGATCCTGCTGAAATATTCCATACATATTACAAACAATAAGGGCGATATTGGATCCCCTTGCCTCAGCCCCCTTTGTCCTTCTATGCTTCCAAACATTCCCCTATTTAGTGCAATGCTATATCTTGTTGTTTTCACACATTCCATTGTTCATTTTCTGAACACATGTGGGAAATTAAGAGCATGTAAAATTCTTCCACAAAACCCCATTCAACACTGTCATATGCCTTTCTTAGGTCAATTTTTATCAAGCAACTCCTTGTAGTATTCTTTCTATTATATAATCTTACCAAGTCTTGACAGATTAAAACATTTTGCACTATTGATCTACCCGCCACAAAAGCACTTTGATTGCTCGATATTATCACTGGCAGCACTGTCCTCAGTCTGTTACATAACATTTTTGAAATTGTCTTGTATATAGTATTGCAACATGATATTGGTCTGTAATCCCCCACTGATTTAGCATGACTATCAATGTAATTGTTGTATCATTCATCCCAGTAAGCATCTTTTTAGTCCTAAAGAACTCCATCACTCCCTTCACCACATCTTTACCGACAATCTCCCAATTATCTTTGAAGAATGGACTCCCATATTCATATGGTCCTGGCGACTTGTTCCCATCAATGCTCCACATAGCTTCCTTTACCTCCTTCTCTGTGAACTTTGCTGCTAGTTGTTCTCGTTGTTCCTTATTAACCAGTGATCCTTTCATAATTATCTCCCTGCACACATGCTTTCTTCCCTTGTTTGACTGTCCTAGCAGCTCACTGTAGTATTCCAAAAAAGCCTTGCTAATTTCTTCCATGCCTTCTTGCCTTTCACCATGCTTATCCTTTCCTCCAAAAATTATGTTGGTGTTCCTTCTTGTCTTTATGTAGTTGTGATAGAACTTTGTATTTTGATCACCTTCTTGTATCCACTGTATTTTTTCTTTTTGTTTCAAGAATTGATCCCTGGCCCCTTTTAGTTTTCCATATTGTTTTGATATTTCTAGTTCTTGTTCAATCAACTTGTTATCTGTTGGATCTCTGCTCAATTTCATCTAACATTTCCTCAGTTCCTCCTTTGCCTCTTCAGCCTTACCCTCTATGTCTCCAAAATTTTCCCTGTTTATACTCAGTAACACCTTTTTCAACCTATTTAGTTTCCCCACTAGTTGAAACATATTCCTTCCTCTTATTTTTCCCCCCCAGCTAGCCTTCACCTTTTCTTTTTATTTTGGTTCCATTCTCCACATATTAAAGTACCTAAATTTCTTCTTCCCATTTATAGACCCCTCTTCCCAGCTTATGATTGCAGGACAATGATCATATTTTCTTCATGCATAAAGTGTGCTTCAGACGTGGTAAATTGGTCATCCAATCACTATCAACTAGGGCCCTGTCTATTTTACTCCAAACTCTGTCTTCCCCTCTTTGTTTATTATTCCATGTAAAGAATGAGACTTATGATTTGAGGTCCTGAACTTCACATTCCTCCACACATTGTCGAAATTCTCTTATTTCTGCCATTTCAAAAGGTCGTCCTATCCTTTCATCCATATTCAACATGCGATTAAAATCTCCCATTATAGCCCAAGCCCCATTGATGCTCCCTCTTAACCCTTTTATGTCCCTCCATAATGTTCTTGTCATTGCTTGGTCATTGAAACCACATACCATTGTAATATCAAATACCCTTCTCGTTCCCATATATTCTACTTTACTGTGAATTACTTGTCATGTTACTAACTTCACATCCACATTGTATATCTCTGGCTTCCACAATATCCTAATTCCCCCCCCCCCATAGTGAGCTGCTAGCTCAGTTGTAAACGATCATGTCCTACATAGACTAAGATCCACATTACTTGCTTTCACTCTCTTAATCCTAGTCTCTAGGAAACCAAACAAGATGATTTTTGAGGTATATAGGAAAACCTACATTTCCTTTTGTTTATCAACTCTATTTAATCCCCTAGAGTTTCAAAACCCTATTCTATCCATTCAGGATTGGTCTTCCCCATCCTTCTCCTTCCTTTTCTCATTTCCTATCACATTATTCCCTGCTCTTATCTCCTTACTTCCTTGCCCTATCTCGCTCAACACATTGAAAGAGTTAGTTTTCTCAGTTTTTATTATTTGAGTCTTCCCCTTTTGTATCTCTATTCTACTAGATTGCCTGGCATTTCTTATTTCCTCCACTTTATCAACCCTTTGTTGTCCTTCTCCATTTATCACTTGTTCTCCTTTGTGTTGCTTCTCATTCTCCTTTAATTGTTTTCTCTACTCACTTATATCATGCCCAAAATTCTTACATTTTTTGCATAATATTGTTTTCCATTCATATTCAACCTGCTGATGCACTATCTTCCTTATTTCATTCTCAAACATTATTACTTTGGGATATTCCTTATTTAGAGGCATCTCTATCAATACTCTTGCAAACGTTAATCTATCTTTTTGTGTTGTTGCTCTGTCTACTTTCAATGGATGTCCTATCAACCCTGTTATCTTTGTTAGAGCATTCTTTCCCCAATATTTTATATCTAACCCTACCAATCTCACCCAAATTGGCACTTTTTCCACCTTATCTTTTGTTACCACTATATCTGGTTCCCATGGTTTCACTATTACTGGATTTTTGTCGAACATTTGCACACCTTCTTCCACGGCTATTCCCCTATTCTCAGCATTGTTGAAACACACCATAAACACCCCCTATTTACCTGAGCTACTTTATCTATCCCTAACTTTTTTCAGATTCTCCTAAAATATCCCTCTATAACTATCGGCGGTGGGTTCGATCCTAATGCATAACAAACCACAGCTGTTTCCCAATATTTCACTTCCTCTTGTATATCCTCTCTTGTTATCTTAACATTGAGACTAGGGTTTACTTCCCCACTCAGATCCAGTCCTTCTATCTGCGATGTTGTCCCTACAATTCTACTCCATGTCACTCCTTCACTTGGCCTTTCTATAGATCTCACTTTTGATGTATCTTCCTCCACCATATCTTCCCATGTACACTTCCTTGACGTTGTTGCTTGCTTCCAGTACTTTTTGGAGTATTCAATGGTGTTACTTGTTGTGTAATTGGCCCTTTCATTTTTTCACCTTACCCTCGACCTCCCACCTCACTAGCCCCCTACGACCCCCACCCCCACCCCCTTAAAAAACGTAATATTATTATTTAAAAGAGGGAAAAGGGTCTGATATACCCCTCAACTTTGTCATTTGGAGCTGATACACCCCTCATTATAAAAGTGGCTCATATATACCCTTACCATTTTACAAACGGCTCACATATACCCCTGCTGTTACAAAATGGCTCACATATACCCTTTATTTAAAGGAATTTTAAATAATTAGTTTTAAATTTATATTTATTACTTATAAATTTTTTTAAAAATTATTTAGTGGTATATATGATTCTTCGATAAAAGTTCAAGGTATATTTTAATTTTTTTCATACATAAATTATTTTTTGACTTCTTTTATTATAATTATTTGAGTTCTTATTCTTATTTTATTTTTTTTCTTTCATTCCTTAGTTTAAAGAAAAAAATTAAACTATTTTTTTGTGTTTATTGTAATTTAATTTCGTATTCGAAAAACAAAATTTGGCATCTACAATAAGTTTTACAAGAATATTAATGAAACATAACTAAATTTGTTTATCAAAATAATAATTATAAATTAGTCATTGAAACAAAAAAAAGTCAAAAAAAATATATGTTTGACGAGGATTAAATTTACTCATATGGGATTATATTTTTTAGAAAAAATAATAAAAATTTAGATTGAAAATTATTATTTTTTCATTTTCGTTAGA